AGGCAAGGCATTGAAGTGTATTCCTGTGGGTCTTCTCACATATTTGCATTTTGTCCTCTGTCTGGCAATAAAAGCGGCGTACGCCAAGCGATATGAAAGTAACTGCCATGCAAAGAACAAGGCTCCTCTCTGCAAGTGGGCGGTCGATTCCACCATCAAGTAGCGTTCAGTGTTGCCATATTCGTGGGAAGGTGTGATGTTTATCCGAGGTGAATTTCTCAACCCGGTTCACCGTAGCGTCATGAACATTTCACCACATCACTCAGGTGGCTTTTCATAAAACTGCCACCCGTTGGCTTTCGGCGTGATCGGGTTTGCTGCGGCCATTTCACTGTTGTCCTCGTGTAGCCCCGTGTGCTCCCCCTCCCCCTCCCCCTCCCCCCTACACCTTACGCCAGCTCCAACCTCATCCCGGCGCCGGCCTCAGCCCCCCTCCCCGCAACCCCGACGTGCCGGGTCGCTGACCCACTGAACTCGAGGCCGTACGGGTTCCAGGCGTCCCCACGACGCGGCGGTCCGGGATGAACGGGCCGCAGTCGTCGGGGCGCCCAGCAATGAGCGCGGCCGGCCCGCGGCTGTGCGGTGACGCTGCCGGTCTGCGATAGGGGGCGGGGAGAGAACTGCCCCGGCTCAGCAGCCGGGGCGGCTGTGGAGGGGAGGGGCCGGGGAGCACAGGGGAGTGTCACACCCGATGGCTCAGACTTTCAGTGACACAGACTGAACCTTCTTACGTGCAAAGCGCCGCCTCAAAAAGGCGAAGTGCTGCAATTATTTTTTTCCTTTGTAGGCTCCTGCGGAAAGTAGTGTTACGGATGGAATAATTGTATGGGCGTTTGCCTTCTTCTGGTGTATTCGTCTATACACAGCGTTTTGACCAGCTAACTCTCCGGCTGTCGTCTGGTGTTATGGAGTCTTTGGAAGCATAGGATAATGTTTGTCTTTCAGCTATATACGGGTCACAGCCTTAGTTTTCCCCTTTGAATTGCTCGAATTCGAACAACGGTCTTGTGAATGCGAACCCAATTCTCTACCGCCTGAACTAACCGGGAAAAACGCTTCCCGCTGAAATGTCGTGTACACACTTGTGTGTGTGAGGGGGGTTGAAATACTTCCAATTTGCGAATGCCCACAGAATCTTGAGCCTGCCATTTTGCCGTAGACCTTACTACCTGCAGTGGTGTAATTCTCCATGACCTTTGGTATACGTGATACAACGTTGTCACGTTGTATCTTTATGTCTTTGTTCTTATCCCAAATCCGAAAGAGGTGGCCTAAACTCGTGGATAAATCGCAATTTTCGGGCAGGATGAGACGTGCGGGGAAAAAGGGAGAGATTTAGGACATTACCATCCATGGTTTTAGATTGGTGGGCGGCGCTCTCTCAGCTTTGAGTGACCTAATCCTAAGGTTTTGATGTAGTACATCGGATCGCGTCATTTCTCAGGGAATGCATGACAAAAATGCGAGTCATTCGTGTTCCTGTAAATAATCAGCACTATTTGCTGTTTTTTTTTATTCATCCACCTTCCCTTATGCGTAACTAACGCCTTTTAGTGAGATGGAGACAACAATGTAGTTTGGTTAAAGTCGGGTGCTTTGCATATCATGATCATAATGAAACATAGGCGGTGATATACGATATGCGTTTCGTATTCCTTGTATATATATATATATATATATATATATATATATATATATATATATATATATATATATATATATTCTTCTACATTGCCATACCGAGCAGACACAGCGCCGCGTGGAAGGGATGAGGTACGGGTATCCGCCACTGCTACTGACTCGGGGCGAGTCAGCATTTCGTTAAGACCATTCGACGTGGTGATGGCCCCTGGATTCTGTGTCCCCCGAAAAGTCTGGCTTTTGGCTTCCTGATTTTTAGATTCGTCTTTTCTAAACGAAAGCTTTCTTCCTGGGCACAACCCTGGACGGCAAGTCATAGCATTTCAGTGCACAGAGGCTGCTGTACTGAGCACAGGGCACTGGTAAATTCGACCATTTGGAGCCCAAATCAAACATCTAAACCTGAATGCGAATAAAAAAAGACAAGCTGCGCTCGGATGCTTCAGGTAGCACGTTAGGTTAAATTGGGCTTAAGTTTGACAGGCTGGCTCCATTGGCAATCTTACACTCGCTAGGGCTGGATTTCAAAACGTTCGCATTTGAGGGCCTCGGTACAAATACGCGCTGGAGAGGAATGGGATGTCAGATCCACCACGAAATCTCAGAAATCGTCAAGGCTAGTGGAACGAAACTTGCTAGGGAAAATAGAAACATTACCTAGTTTATTTGAAAACAATCCAAGCCAAGATCCTATTGCGATATCTTACTTTTTATTCAATATCATATTTAATACTATAGTTACATGCTTCAGGGCTTTACGGTGGTTTTTAGGATTGAAGCCCTAATTTTTTAGTTCAAATCCCCGTTTTCAAGATTTGATCATTTGCACGATTCTATTATACTTTAATCCATTTAAACCATGCGAACCCGAATCTTAAGTTCTATTTTAATCTACTTCACAGACCGCTTTTACCACTTCCGCTACATCACTTCCTGGACAGCTTGCCTATCGCAGTGACTCCAGCACCCTCTGGCCTTCACTGAGCGCTTATGATCAAACGCCTATGCTTCGTCTGGAATCCCCCTACAGTCATGATGTACGACACTCAAAGCTGATTTGTCAACAGGTTATCATCTTTTAAAAATCTACCTTGGTTTTTAACTGTCGACAGTTACTCGCATAGATATTGATGCATGTAGCCATATGGTGAAGACACGCGCCCCTGGTGCTCCCTTGAATATGCCACTCCCAAGGAAGGTTCCTTTGTCAGGAAACCCCAACTTGTCCTGGAGGTCCGTTGAGAAATTGAACTCAGTCCCTCAGCTCAAAATTCGTAGTGCCTGTGTACCGTAGTACCAAAATACCGTAGCACCTTAGTACCTTAGACCGTAGTACCAAAATACCGTAGTACCAAAATTCGTAGTGCCTGTAACCACTTCACAGATGACAGGCGAGTCCTTCCTTTCACAGTGATTCCTCATTACGTATTTTTTCATCGAGAATATTCATCAGTGTGGTTTAGTTACAAGCAACTTTTCAGTACAGCAAGGCAAACCGCGAGACAGGTATTCTACAATTAGTTAAAGCGCACCGTATCACGAACTAAGCTAGATTTCAGCCATAGCATGCAAGCTCGGGGTTTACCGTCAGCATGACATTCTGTTTGTCCCGGCCTACCGGTGGGGTAATCCCAAACAGCTACCCACGCGCGACACTCAGCCTGCCACCACCCACGGCTGGAGAAACCCAGGTCACCCCGAATCATTTAATCCCTGCTCCCTCCTCCTTTACGGAGGTCTTTTAGCGACCAGCCAGCGGACAAGCCGACGAACGCATTGCTAACCTTTAAATGTCACCGGAGTTCCCCGCAAGAGCGCGCGGCTACTGGTCCCCACGGAAGCTCTCTCTCTTTCTTTCTCTCTCTCTCTCTCTCTCTCTCTCTCTCTCTCTCTCTCTCTCTCTCTCTCTCTCTCTCTCTCTCTCTCTCTCTCTCTCTCTCTCTCTCTCTCTCTCTCTCTCTCTCTCTCTCTCTCTTTTTCTCTCTCGCTCTCTCTCTTTCTCTCTCTCTCTTTCTCTCTCTCTTTTCTCTCTCCCTTTCTCTCTCTCCCTCTTTCTCTCTCCCTTCCTCCCTTCCCTCTCTCTCCCTCCCTCTCTCTCACTCTCTCCGCCTCTCTCTCTCTTCTCGCTGTATTTTTCTTTGTCTCGTCCCTCGTGCATGTTTTCCCTTCTGCATGTGAACATATCATTTGGTTTCCGTCGTTCACTTCAATTTCTTCTTTTTTACCGTCTCCTCTCTGATCTATTAGCTTGCCTTTGTGTCTGTTTCCCGTCTTTTGGGCATTTATCATTTAGCTTGCAATCCTCATGTTGATGGGTTGACATTTTTTCATGGCCTACCTCTTTAGATGCCTATTTCTCTTTCAATCCCTATGCACCATTTGGGTAATTTCGCCAAATACAATTTTTCCGACCTGTGCCATTTCATGTTCATCCCATAAATTGCTCTGATTTTGGAATCGCAATTGAACGCCACCGACAAGCCATAACGCTCGCCCTTGGACGCAATATTTGCCTTGTGGTACGCAATCACAATTTTAAAATGACAGCACAACATTCAAAGTGCCTGCGGTGCTTTCCAGGGCTTTCCTTGGATGCCTCAGTTTATTCAATGGCGAATCCAGCACGAGCCCCGGGCACAGGCCATAACTCAAGACCGCGAAAAGGCAGAACCATTCTCTTTCACTGGACCTGCTTTTTATCTAATTGGAGTTGCATTCCGAATGTTCCACCACACCGAAATTCAGCTTCTTTTCAAAAGCATATCCCTTTTGCCTCCCGTTTCGCCGCTTTTTTCGTTCTTCGCCCTCCCCCTTCCGTCCGTTGAACGGGGTGTGAGGAGGGCACGGAGTCACTGGCTGGCCGTGGCTGGCCGGTGGGAGCTGATCGGCGTCCGGTGGGGACGGCCATGGCAACGGTGGGAGGAAGGCGTCCGTGTCCGGCGGAGATGGCGGGAGGAAGGCGTCCGCGTCCGGCCGGAGCGGCTGACGCAAACCGGCCGTGTCGCGGCGAGGCGACGCACGTGGCCCGGCCTGTGCGCCGGCCGAGGAGAGCCGACACATACCGGCCGCGTCGAGCGATGCGGTCACAAACTGGCCGCACAGGGATGAGGGCCTGGCGCACAGCATCCTCGTCCGCGGGCGGGTGTCGGGCGCAGACCTGGCGGTTCCAGCTGGATGACGGGCCACCTGCGGCCGGACCACCGGCCGGCCGGTCGGCCGGCGGGCCGAGCGGGCGGGCGGCGGCGGCCCGGCCCGGCCCGGCCCGGCCCGACCGGACGCTTATCGATCGGAGCGCGCCGGCGGCGGTCCCGACGTCGGCCTCGTCGGCGGCCGGCCATGGCGGCCCGCAGTCAGTCGGCCCGCCGTCCGGCCCCGCACGCTGGCGTCCGCGCCGCCCGCCCCGGCATGGACGACGACAGGGACCACGGCTCCAGCTCGGTGAGTGCCTCGCCGCCGTGCCTCAGAGCGCGCCGTCGCCCCGCGCCGCTCGGCTCCAGCACCGTCGTCTGGTGTGGTGTGAACTCGTGAGCCGGGGCTCGGACTGTCGTCGGATGTTGTTGGCAAAGTGGTCGAGTGAGGCTGCTCGTCTGGATCTGCGGAATGCTGTGATCCAAAAATGTTTTTGCTCAACCCGCAGTGAGCATGGCTTTCATCATCAGCTAGACAGGAAAGAGCCTCACAAGCCACCCTGCGGCACATGAGTGCTGAAAACATCCCACACGCCCACACCCGGTAACAAAATTCCAGCGCACGCCCCTCGTGCGTTGCCGCGTCCGTCCGGCACCGCCCAGCCATGCGAGGCCCCGCGGCGGCAGCAGTGCGAAGGGCACGGCGAAAATCGAGCGCCTCAATCGATGGCGAGCGGCGGCGGCCGTGCGCACCCTCTGATCTGTATTCGGCGGGGCGGGCGGCGAGTCCGAGACCCGTGCTCACACGTCGGTGGCTCCTCGAGCTGAACGGCGTCCGGCCGCCGCCGCAGACCCGACGCTGATCAATGGCTATTGGAGCGCGTTGCGCCCGCCGCCGCCGCCGCCGGACCGGCTGTCTCCGCGGAGCCGGCGCTCACCAGACGAGTGGCAAGGGATCCACAGCTCAAGGGATCCACAGCTCAAGGGATCCACAGCTCAAGGGATCCACAGCTCAAGGGATCCACAGCTCCTGGTGCAGATGCTGGCGCTGTGGCTGCAGGGAAAGGCGGTGGTTCGGAAGCGGTGGCGGATCATTAATGCGTCTAGCTTCGTTGAACCTCATCCAGTTCTGAACCGGATATTGTGACAGCGAACTGCATTATCAGGGGGCACATGCTCAGCTTGCCCACGCCACATCGACTGCAGCTGTTGAGGTTCTCGGTGCGCGCCCTTGTACTTGGCTCGGCAGACAGTACGGTTATCTGGCTGCTGTGAAGTGCCCGAAGCGGCGCCTCGGGCCTGGAGCTTAGCCAGCCCCATCGTTTGTAAACAGTACCGGTACTCTGACGGCCGTCGTCGTGGTGTGGCGGCGGTCCAGATTCTTTTCGAGTCCTGACACAACGCAGGTCTCTGGCATACGCAGACTACGCAGTCTGTAAAACGGTCTAAAGAGCTTCGAAAGATGAGATACACATGCACGGTGGTATGTCTGCAGCGAGTGCTAAAATGATGTCTGAATGTTATCACATTTCACGTATCATCCCTTTGGTTCATGACCCATTTCCTCACCGGCGTCTGTAGGGGAGGGTCTGGGATATAAGTCATGGATGCCTGTCCGGCGGACGGTTGCATTTCTGAACGCATTGCTTACTTCTCCCAGCACGGTCCGACGGACGGTTGCATTTCTGAACGCATTGCTTACTTCTCCCAGCACGGTCCGACGGACGGTTGCATTTCTGAACGCATTGCTTACTTCTCCCAGCACGGTCCTTTGCGGACTGGCCGTCGCAACCATTGGCGTAGAAACAGGGATGTCCGGGGCTGCTACGTCACCGCCACTTTCTCAGAATGCTAAACATGCATTCTATAATGACGCATGGACAGAATCGAGTTCAGAGTTGGTTTTGACACACTACTTGCTGAGAAGTTCCTTCGCCTACAATAGACAATACACCCTCGATAAAGACGAGCTGGTTTTGTCTTCACGCGCGAGTGGGACCAAAGCATGCTGAGGCCGCACCGTCGTGCCATTTCTTCAATATCGATGTTGCCCTTGATAGAGCTGCAACCTTGCACCGTGGCTGGTCAAGCGTACGCACTCCGACGACGTCCCATCGCCGTCCCTCTCCCACCTCCCCACCCTCACCCCCGCACCCCCGCCCCCCTCCCCACCAGCCCAGTCCCGCCCATCCGCCCGACGCCCGCACCCATGGAGACTGATCGCGTCGTCCGGCAACGCCATCTGTCAGCGGATCTCTCAAAGGCGGACGTCTGGGCTGTCGGCACATCACTTACGGATATGTGTCCGGCCTGCCTGCACGTTACTCGTCGATGCATATCCAGCTTGTCCGCATCTTACTTAGCTTCCCATTTGCGGCCTGTTGTTGCTTACGGGCACATGCCCATCCCGTGAAGGAAAATTTTGTTCGACACTTCGCTTTTAAGTCGACGATGTCATGAACATGGATATATTCAACGGTTACTGGACAACTCAAGCGAAACGCGAGGCTTATGCAAGTCCCTAAACGAACTGCAGGCTGGACTGGTGCGCACCCGTCAGCGAAGGCAACAACGCGAAGGTTATTCTGAAAAATCACTCATAAGGGTAACCCTTTGCTATTGACCCCCTACTTAACCATTTATCATCGGCCTCGGCTATTCTTAGTGACCAGCTGAGCTTGACGCATGCTAGCGGACGGCGCACTTCGTCGCATGTCGGCGACTCCTACGTAACTAACTTTCGTGCTCTAGCATATCACTTCTGGTACCCTACCTCCCTTGGTTTTCTTGTTGCAAAATCCTAATAAGATCCCCGAAATACGCAATTATTGCCCACCACGATGCGCGCAAAATAGCCACTCAAATGTGGGGGCACACTGGTGGTGTTCAATACAAAACGCAAATACAGACACTGCCTATGCGTCACTGGTTTTCGGCACATGTCCGGTGTCCTTTGTCCCATATCTGTCTGTATGTAGATCACTGACAGACGTATGTCTAGCTTGTCCGTATATCCCTCACATGCACCTGCTTGTATAACCACATGAGCGCATGCCTGACCTGGTGTGGGATATGAGCACGTGTCCTGTCTTGGTATGGGATGCGGGCACGTGTTCTGTCTGTCTTGGTATGGGATATGGGCACGTGTCCTGTCTTGGTATGGGATATGGGCACGTGTCATGTCTGTCTTGGTATGGGATATGGGCACGTGTCCTGTCTGTCTTGGTATGGGATATGGGTACGTGTCCTGTCTGTCTTGGTATGGGATATGGGTACGTGTCCTGTCTGTCTTGCATCTCCATGTGCGCGTCAATGTTCATGTTCATGCATGTCCATGGCTGCCTACCCACGGTCACATGCCATGTCTCCCTGTATATCACCTAGAGACACGTACGTCCCCAGACCCTCCTCAAATATCTCACGGACAGATCCCTATGACTTCAAACATTCTCGGTGATACCTGCGACCTTTTAGCACTCACGAGTCACGTCCAGTCTGTTCATTATCACTCTGCGAGGCCCGTGAACACATGTTCGACCAGTCTGTACGTTGCGATCAGGCTCACATCCAGTTTGTCGATACATTGCGACAAGTACCCGTGCATGTTGATGTTCGTTAGAGCCCGCATTGGTTGCTGATTATCTGTTGGTGGACGACGCAATAGAGAACAGCTGGCATATAACATGATGCGCGTGATTTGAACTCAACGCAAATCTTCTCGGAACGCGAGAATAGGAACTGGCAGCAAATGTATACACATTCGGGTATTACAGGGCGTGCGAACCGCCAAGCGTGCCGCGGCGCTGCGGGCACGAATAATCCAACACCAAACTTTCTCAAACGATGTTTTAAGCTCTGTAGAGCTGCACCATCTTCTGCATCGCGCCGAAATGGTATCGACGTCGGCTCCGCTGCCGGCGGCGACATGCTCAGACGCTAGGCCAGTGGCCTAAATACTAAATTTGACTGAATACTAAAATCTAATGATGTGGGGCAGCTGGTGTATTGCGTAATGCGCTTGGGGCAAAAGTGTAAGGGGACACGGGGATAATACCAAAGCGGAAAAGTGGAGGCAAACATCTGGGCAACAAGACACCATTCTTTAAGCCTCAAGCGACATGAAGTTCAGAGATAAAAATACATGTACCAAATTGAATGATAAATTGAATTTTGGTTGCAGGATAGTTGTTTTCATGACTAAGGGAGGCCAACCTTGGCACAACGCGCTCACCTGCGTCAATCAATCAAGTCGATCCAATCAATGCTTGCAGTGATTCGTCATATCATCTCTTTTTACGTTTCAAACATCTTACCTTGCGAATAAGCAGTAAATCAACAGCCACCTATTTCGCCAGCATGTATATGGGAAAATAGACAGCAACTGAGAAAAAAAAATGAATACAGCAGTGCATTTAGGTGTCTGCTTGGGAGTGGATAATTAACATTTAGGGCACCTCCTGATTCGAGGGGGTACGTGGGTGAGTACGTCCTCAGGAGCCGGTAATGTCTTTACTTCGCAGTCGTGGGGCTGTGGTTCAAACCTGTTTGCCCGCAGAGACAACCAACGGGCGAGGTGGTCCTGATGAGGACTTGCGGGCCGTCGCTGTTTGTGCCTTGTGTTTGCAGACTCGGCAGCCTCTCTCTGTCCTAGGCGGGGTCGCCTCAATATCACGGGGGTCTTCAATGTCACGGGGGTCTTAATCCAACTTTGTTGTGGTCCAACGAGCCCCGTTACCATTTAATTTATTAAAACGAAGATAAGCTGAAACTGTCCAAGACTTACTGAAGTCCCAGCGATCCCTGTGGTGGTTGCTTAAGTGATTCCAGTGGCTTTAGCGCATGAGGTTAGTGGCCAGTGGTCCCGCGCATTCGCAATGGTTTCGTGCAGTACCGAGGTTCTCTTCCAGCAATACGAGCCTCCATATACGTACTGAGCTTCATTAGGTCGGCGGCTGTTTCAGCCCAGTGATTTCTTGAAATTGTGCAAAAAGCGAGAACCTCCAGTCTCTATTCGAGGTCTTGTATAGTGTCAGCGATCTCGTGCGGTCCCAGGAGGCGCTCTCAGTCATGTTACAGCGTCTGACGGCCAAAGAATGCGCCTGCCATTTCTAGCCCAGTCAAACGCGATCCCAACAACCGACGTGATAGCCCCAAGAATGTCCCCTACATTCACAATAGGCTATTGTGGATCACAGCAACACAGCTCTGAGGGCTTCCAAAAAGGTGCATGGATCTTTCGCGAGTCTTCAGGAGGGCCCTCCGATTTGTCAAGAGAGGTGCTGTGACCCCCATGCCCTTCCCCTAGTATGCCGCTGCTACAACCCTTCAGATAACCCCGCCATAAAAATACGACGAGTCGTCAGGACACGTGAAGGTGCTTGACTTTCTGACAACTGTGTTGTTTCCATCACAATTCAAGCTCGCTTGTGACAAAGATTTGTGACTCATTTCGCATTTCATTCGTCTTGCGTGAGGGCCGTCGCTAACCGGACGTAAGCGATTACTCAGTTTGTGGTGACTAAACAATCTCAGTAAGTTGCCAATCCTGCAGTGTACAATGCGAAGCAACTTGCAACGAGAATATCCATAACTTAGCCGGTAATATTTGTGTTTTTGCGAATGTCTTGCTCCGTCAAAAACTATGAATATAAATACTGAAAATCGATGTACTAGTGTTCATCATCATCCGGTGACGACTTCCCGTTTGTTTTCTTTATGTGTTTTCACCGACTTATATGTAATACTAACGCATAACATTTAGTGGTGCGGCTGAGACGTAGACATGGAAATGAACAAACGCCAACGGACGAATAAACAACGGAACGTTCTGAAAATGCAGATTCTTGCAACTTTAAATGCAACTTACAGCCGATAACAGGGAAAAGGTCAACTTTGCCGCATGCACCGTGCGCAAATGACCGCGTTCATGTGCCTTGCTCTGCACTGTTACAGTCGGAGGGGAGGAAGCGACCGTACAAGGTGTGGGATAGCCGGCGATACACCAAGAAAGGCATTGTCGCCAGCTCGCTGGAGGAGTTGCTCAACAGGGGTGAGTAAGACCAGAATGGCCTACGTATTGGTTGAGAGGACGGATGCGTGTCGCCCATGTCACTGGCACTGTTCTGTTATGATCAATGCTGCATATGCTGACGGCTGAGAATCTCCTAAAATGACTGTGTTCTCCCTAAATTGCATATGATGGTGTCATTTCAGGAGCAGCAACGTACCGAAACAGCCCTCAGCTGAAATACGTCTCTGAAATGAGCCGGATCGGTCGGGCCAGTGCCTCCGCGGCCATTATGTCACATTCAGTGTGGAGAAATCCGCAATGATGACGTAAGCGATTTACCAAATACACCGGTTCACTAAGACGGCCCATCGTGAGTGTCGATGCTTGCAAACAGTCACGCGCTCTTGTCCGTAAGCCGTGGATCCATCCGTTTTGCGACGTTGTTTAAAGGAAGCACCCCACCTTTTTGTGCTTTCCCCTTGTTGGTTCACTAGACGCGTATATTTTGATCTGAAGTAGCCGACCCTGCGAGATATCTGATTTGACTTTCTGCTCACCACGATGAACGTAGTACATTTCATTCGTATTGCTCTTCCCAGCGTGTGTTCTGTAACATTTTCAAGACACTAATGTGTCAAAATGATTGCGTAATAAATGCTACGATAGCCTGAATGCTCCGCTTAGGCAAAAACATAAACGAGCGTGCGGATATTATTCCGTGAATCAAACGTAACGTTATCCTAGGGCTTTGATTTCGATCCTACGGCGTTTACCACAATGACGCTTTTCGAAGCGCACTTTGGCTTTGAGAATGGGAGCGAGATCTTGGGATGTCGATGTGACGCCCTGGTTCAAACTTTAACCAACCCACTCCTCGATAACAGGTAGTTGCTCGCTGGGCCAATTACAAACGTTCTTTTATTCCCATCAGTAGAGGTGCGCGCGCTGGTTATCATTACGACCGTGGTCGCCACTGCACGAAAGAAACGTAGTGTTGTAGGAAGCGTTGACGACGTAATTTGGACTAGAAAATAATTGAAATCGACATTCTTTTTATGCCTTCACGGTACCACAGTGGCACTACCCAGTGCTATTATTAGACGTAACTAGTCATGAGGTTTCATTCAAGTACGTTTTTAAAGTATGCCCGGAAGGTGGGACACGGATGCCATTGTATCAGCAACCGGAGCAGATGAAGACTTAAAAACGATTGCGCAACGTATGGGAATACGCGTACCGCAACCCGCCCGCGGATATCGAAAATAACCGGCCGATACAGGAGTCAGTAGCTGACCGGAAAGAAGCTAATGCCATCTTTTCCGAAACCGATCTTGAGTGCGCGACGCCGTGGCCCGACCCGATTACAAGATAGATTGGGCCGTTAAAACTGCGCAGGTGTGTAGCCGCACTTATCGTGACTAGCATCCACCCAAAACGCGTGCGTTTTTGCAACACATCGATCACGACTGCCAAATCCGTAAATCATTACAAGCTCATTGGTCTCGTTGATAACAATTGTCGAGCCTAGCTATGCCCAGTATGCCATTTTTCCGGTAATGACATTTGTGATTTAGAGCGCGAACTTTGCGTCACAGTAAATTAGCGCACGAATGCTACATCGCAATGAAGTTGCGCGCAAATGTTACATTGTAATGAAATTGGGTGTGAATGTCATTTCGAAATGAATAAGTGCGCGAAAGCTTCATCCAAAGACCTCTGCCTGTTAAGCTACCATGCAAGGCAGGCCTTACAACTTATTGACTAAAGCCAGTAGTGTTCGTTGCCAAAGGTGCTCGGTCCCACTTGTCAATTTTTAATGCATTATACACATGATGACTATTGGTAACTACCATGCTGTCATCGCTTTCATTGTCATGGCTGCCATCAAATGTCATCGCTGACATTTATGATTGAATGGCAAAACCCAGAACGAAACACATTTGAAGAAGTACATCATCTTCGCAGGAGCGGTGTCATTAAACTGAAATTGTAGCAGAAGAACACGGCTGAATAACGCAGAAAACCTTCTTTCGTCCAAGTGTTTTTCATCTATATGGTTATCAAAACTGTGTTTTTAGTCAGTCGCATAGCCAGGGCTTGGTGACAGGCACGCATAGCAGGATGCGAGTCATGCTGTGCACTGTTCTAAAATGCGCTACCAGCCAAAAAGCGGTAGCGACCAAATTTTATGAGTTTTTAGTAGAATTTCCTACCACGGAACTCTTCTTCGGCTATAAGCTTTCGTGTAAAACTGTACTTTGCCTTTTCCATTTTGATACTATTTAATTAACAATTTCAACAGATTAGAATTGTCTGAACTACGTCATTTGCGATCACCACCAAGTCACAGACGCCCCCGTGGTTATATTCCCATTCACGGGCAAGCGTGTATGTCATAATTTGCCACCTCGCCCCCTGCATCAACTAACGGGGTTAGCGCAGCTCACTTCAGCGGCGTCTCATCTTGCTTGATTACCCATTGGTTTTGAGGTTCTGCTCAGTGGATGGAGCGTTACAAAAATAGGAAAAATTTCGTAAAGCTTAGACCAAAGGCGGTCAGGTTATTCAAGGCGGTCAAGTCATTCATAGATCATTACCACCCTTCCGCTCTCCAAATAATTCCTGATTTTCTGATGCCACTGAGCTGGCAGGGTCAACGTCGGACAGAGACCAGAAAAAGTCCAGGAGCCCTGAGACCGTAATGGACGTTCGAGCTGTCTCAGTGCTTCCAAGATGACCTCTAGCCCAATAGCGATCAGGAAAATCACTTAAGTTACCAGGCACTTCCACATGGTCGGATCGCTGCAATCCGGGCATAGCAGGCTGGAGGGGGTTCAGGGGTTTCATATAAAAACCAAGGTTTGAGAGCGATCAGAGACGCGTAAGATGGCGTGGAATACCGTTGTACTCAAACAATAACCAGACCGCTCAAAGAACCCAAAACAGGGCAGAGGCCTGGAACATGGTGTATTTTATAGAACCGATAGGTCCCTAGAGAGGTTAAGGATTTAATACTTACAAGTGGTTTTGCGAAGGTAGCGTCCCACAACGCATTCGGGAGTTACGAGACAATCGTGAAAAGTCGAGGATCCCGACTGTTGAGAGCTGTGAGGAGTCAGGCTTTTCAAAACCGCTCAGGTAATACGTAAGTCGACAATGGGCTTAACAGTGGTCACTAACTCTTAAAGGAACGCGACGCCCGTCCTTACGTCCTTTTATGAAGCGCCAGCGAATGCATTGGCCATATCAGCGCTCGGGGACTATAGCGCAGCGGGGATTAGGACCCAGGCTCCCACGTGGTGGTCTGATGCGCTAACCACTCGTTCATTACGCCCCTTGGTCAATAAACTCCAATACGTTCAGGGACAGCCGTAATTAAGCAAAGGGGTTGAAGTGCGGTCCGGTGACGAGTGTGATCAGCGGGATGACGGCATTGGGACTCCGTACGGAAACCAGGCGTTTTATGACGTCCTGTATCACCGAAAAAGCTGAATAACTTCTTGGCAGCTTCAGGGTCGGTGACTAGCGACCCAGGGTACTTACTGACTGACATGGATCGGAGTCCGACCGGCCGCCGGCTCAAGTCCCACTCGGAGTGGATGGGACTGGGTGTTATGTGCAGGGACTCATTTCACGGATGACTTGGAATCGTGCTGTACATTGCTGACTCAAGCTGTGACTTACGGACTTATGTTGTGACTCACTGACTCAGACCGTGGCTCACGGGTCAGGCTGTAATTCACGGACTCAGACTGTGACTCGCCATTTTTAAAAAATCCGGATTGGGACTCAGGCTTGAGCTTTAATGCATGTGAACCAGATCAGGACCAATGGAGTCTTTAAACTTGGACTGGACCCTGAGTAAGACTTGAAGCCGAATATAATTATCACATGTGTCAGACCAAGCGCTTCTTTTAAGGGATTGTCCCACATTAGAGGAATGTTTCAAAAACGTGCTAAAATGAAACTTCAAGGCCAGTCATGTCTAATAAGAGCGCCGGATAGTACCACTGCAGCACCGTCCGGACATAATCGGGGTATCAGTTTGAATTATTTCTGAGTCCAAATCACACCGTCAATGCTTTGTAGCAGCACTACGCGTCTTCCCTGCGGTCGCGGCCACCGTCGTCACAACACCGCCATAACACCTCCACTGGTGCGAATAAAAGTATGTGTGTGGTTGGCTGGGCGGATGGCAAAGGCCTGTTACCGATAAGCGCATCGGTTGAAATTTGAACCGCTAAGGTCGGTATCTCTGGGCGTAGGGCTTGTAAAAAGTCATGTAAGGGTGCCACTTGTGATTGACATGTCAGCTGTGACCGATCGAGGTCAATAGTGTTTTTGCTGTCTCTGTGATCAAAAGCCTATGGAGCATATCTGGTTGAAGGGAGTTTGCCAGCTGTTTGTGCTTTTCACCAATAGTTACGTAAGAAGCGTCCAGTTTGGTCGGTACTAGCAGTTTTCACAAAATCCTGATTAGCCCCGAATTTTTATTTGAAATAGTCTCTCTGACGCGGAAAATCCCGTTGGATTCCCAGCTCACCACCACTGTTTGCTTTTTTCTTCCAAACAAGAATATAATGTGATGTTTGCATTACACTAATTGGCATCAATGCTAACAATACGCTAATTGACCACAATGTTTCTACAATAAATTGTGTGGGTGCTTAAAATACTCTCTTTAGGAGAAGGATATCCGAATATAAAGTCATCATCGCAGAAATTCAACGAAATATCACGCAGCACCTTGGATTTCTTCACTATAGCATCAAACACAGATACTTTCGAAAGGCACTTTGACTTTGGGGAGCATGGTCACCTACTCGATGATGATGATGATGTGGGCTTTGAGGTGCGCCGACTGGTCACCTAGTTGGATGCCCAGTTCACTGCGAAGCTGGGCTTAGAGTGCGGATTAGTATAAATAGCAGCACATCATGTCGTTACAAACAAACGTGCACAAGCCTTCACCAATGCACTTATCGCGAAATGGTTTATGCCGCCGGCTGTGGCAACCGCAACCATTCATTTCCACCGAC